AAGTCAAGTGAGAGTGAGGGCGAGAAATAGTGGTCTCAGTTACGAAGTAGTCAATGAGTAGATTCGAAATGTTAGATAAATAATTGTTTTGGATCATAAATTGATTATTGTGGTGTATATTATATATTGTTATGATTTTTCAAAAAATCCTGCCATTAAACAGAATTACCAGAGAACTATGTTCTATCGACTTTTGGGGACTGTCCAATAAACATTTATGTTGATAATATTTTTCCATAACGGCAATAAAACAATAAAATTGAACAATAAAACTGAACAATAAAATCCATCATTTCACAATAAATAAAAATAAAGCAAAATGTATATATGGCAATGACTTGGAAATTATTATTTCTACTCAATTTGACATCCACATCAAATTTAATTCAACCCCATTTGAATATTGTATCAACTGCATTCGTTTCACCCATGAAGTATTTTGCCGATACGGCGTGTTTGAGAAATACTTCACGTAATAATTCGGTAACACCGCGACATTCCTCAATTGACTGACAATTACGAAAATGTTTGGTGCGTAGTGCATCGGCTTCCCTAACCACTAAATAATGAAAAAATGAAATTTTTAAATAAATGTTTAAGAGAATCTTTTCAATTTTCTTACCATCTATCCATCCTGGTTCGTTTGGAACGATCCATTCATGATCATTAATTATTATTTTCTGTAGACGAGTACGCGATGATACATGCGTTAACAAAATCGGTAAGATACTGAGGAAGAAAATCAATGTTTTCATTAACTTAGACTAATGCAAAAATTTATTATTGAAACTGCCGATAAATGTGTTGCAATCTATTCTGTACATGCAAAATAAACTTATAAAAACATAGTTAGAATAAAGTTATACAAATTGTACAGTGGCGTAGCCACCTCTTAGCCCACTCAACAATTGGTTCTGCCCGCCCACTAAAAGTTTTATAATTGACATTACTCTGCGCTAATATCTACCACTTTGAAAAAATTTGGGCCCACCCACTAATAAAATCTTGGCTACGCCACTAAAATTGTATTATGTATGTCAAATTAGGTTAATAAAACTTTCAGACTCTGCTTTTAAAACGATTTGTAATCGATTAACCGACGTTTGAGCGACACCGACAATTGAGCAGAGTGCATTACTTAAAGCTAGTCACCCACACTCTCTTCCGCGCTCACCCTCTACAGGTCTCGAATACAATAAAGAAATTTTTATCATCATCGTTATTAATCGTTATCGAAGTGAACAATCATAAAAGTTTCCTGATCGGAAAAAGGTCATATTAAATAGTCTCTAATATCGGATTGCTCATATATCGTGGGCGCTGAAATGTCGTTCGCTCAAACGTCGGTCGCTCAAATGTCGGTTGACACTTGTAATCATTTTGAACGAGGTGTATTTGTTTTATATATACAATTTACACACATATAATCAATCATTCACAAAAACCCTTAGTTATATATTCTATGTTGACTAAATGATCGATCTCCTTTCAATATTTCGGAGCTAATTATCAAAGTAAATTTTAATTTTTTTTTAATTACTGTATTGTTTTCTAATAGAAAAAGAACGAAAAATGAAATGATATTTCGGTAGACATTAGTGAGAATGAGGAAACCGTGACTAATTAGACTCTTTTTTTTACAGGAAAATGTTTGAGTGATTGAAATAAAAATTTTGAATGAGCAATATTACTCTTTTTTTCCGCTGATATTTGCGTACAATGTTTGCTTGCAAGGCGTGAACGAATATCTTATTCACTATATAGACGAAAACAGTATTAAAATAAGCAGTTGTGGAGTAATCGAATAAAAAGAAACGAAAAAAAATTTCGAGGAAAAAGTCGAAATGTTTTTTTGTTTCTGCATTAATTCAGAGGTATGTACAGTGGCCACTTTCGGCTAGAGTAGACGGACATATGTTATAAATCGGTTAAAAAAAAGTGCTGGATAGCTATTAAAAGTCGGTTTTAATAGGTTTTCAACTACGCTCGATAGAATTACAATGCCAAAAATCTGTAATGCTTGGTTTTCTAGGAGATCTCTAGGGAACTAAGGGGTTTTGGAGACTTTTATTGTTTTTTTTGTTCGAAACCGAATTTTTCTGTTAAAAAAATAGATTTCTAGCCCCCAGAAAATCATTTCCAAATAAAATGCTATTTCGAAAAAACATCTTTCGATCGAAAATCTCGAAGGGGATCCTTATCCAGTTTTTTCCTAGTGATTTCTTTGTTCAAAACCCTTCGATGTTGTACATCATCCGATCCAGCTTCACACGCTGATTCCAAATATGACCTAATTTTTTTCTGACAAATATTCTGGTTACTTTGATCGTGTTTGAAGTTGTGAAAAATTTGGGAACCTTATTATACAGAAGATAGCTGTAAGGAAAACAACTTAGTTTGGAAACGTTTACTTCTCAAAAGTTATAAGTCTTAACCGAAACCTTTTCTCACTAATAGGTTGCCGAAGAGATCTGGTTTCAGAATAAGTATTGTTTCATATTTTTAGTTTGTTAAGTTTAATAATAATAAAAATCTTTTTATTCAGGGTACTACGTTTCAGGCTAGTTTTTGGCTAAATATTTTCCGATGGTCCTTAAAAGTTGAAATAAAAAAAATTATGCCATTAAGTAGAGCGTAGTTCAAAGTACATGAATCTGTATCTAAATCTGGAAAACGTTAACTTTCATTTTCTTGCCTGAATGCGATGGGACTAAAGACCTCACAGATTCTGAAAAAACAAAATTATAGGACCGACATCCTCTCAGAATTGAGCTTTAAAAACGTAACATATAAACCATAATCTCATTTACTTATTTCTGACGTATAACACGCTGCTCTTTTTGTTCTTTAACATTACAGCAAAATCGGTCTATAATTGAGAGAATAAAATAAAATATTTGTAAGAAGCAACGGATAGGCGCCCATACATCTTATTTGACGGGCGCAGATAACTTTTTCGCTCTCTCTCAATTTTTTTATTGAAAAAAATAAAACAGTTTTCTCGATGTTTTACAAAGTTTACACACACACACACAAGCCACCTTTAGGCCTAGAAAGCGTGCTTAAGTCGAGGAGCTACATTTTAGTTTGGATGCTTAAAATTTTCCCTATAGGAATGTACATTTTCGAAGAAATCACTACCCACGGGGAAATTTTATCGACTTTTCACGCGTGAGGGACCGTGAAATGTCAACTTGGACTTTCACGAAATTTTGTAGGTAAAGACAGGAAGTTTCACGACGGTTTGGTCGTGTTGTTGCAATATCACACGTGCGGTCACGCGTGAAAAATCTTCACACGTGTACACAAGTGAACAATCTTCACGCGTGATTACGTGTGAAAAAACCTTGACCATGCTGACCATCTATAGTCAACTGACTATAGATGGTCACCATGGTCAAGGTATAATGCAGTCTTCATCAATGCAACTTCATCTATAACTTTTTCCACGTGTGACCACTAGTTTCTAATTTCTAAAATATCACATTTTTTATATATTATCACAAAGTAAGAGTCGAACCAGGGTACTTTGAATTAGAAATCTACGATACTACTATTGAGCTAACTTGCCTGAGAAACTACTGAATAAATCTCATATTCATACTTGTCGAATCAATCTTCACGAGTTACCACGTGTAAAAAAGTTCTCACGCGTGATTACTCGTGAACTTCCTAAATCTTTTTTCTTAGTTTCCAACTTTTCCAAACTATTTTAGTTAATATTTCCTCCCGGGGAACAAGATGATTCCCAGGCATATTCCTACAGAAAATACCTTCGGTCTACAACAAAGGTTTTCATCTGTATGTATGTACAACTTTCGAAAGATATAGGAGAAATTTGTATTTATGCTTGCCGCTCAATCTTGACGACATTTCACACCTGTAAAAGGTTTCACACGTGGATGTGCGTGAAACGTAAGAATTTTGTCGCTTGCGGTTAAGCGTGAATATTATTCACGAAATGAGTTGCGTGAAACATTGACGCGCGAATAAATGTGAAGATATTTTTCACAATGAAATTAGTACGAATCATTTTCACGCGTGTCCGCAAGTGATATTTTTTACGGAAATTTTAACATGAGAAATTCACGTGTGGCCACTACACACTTCACGACTTTCACCTGTGATCACGTGCGAAAAATATGACGCGAAACGTTTTCGTAACCAGTACTTCATTCCACGATATTCACGCGTGTTATCACGTCTTGTAAAGTCATCCCGGTCCGCATTGTCGAAAGCGCTCACTTCTTGAAAAGTTAATCTGGCATACGAAGATAGAGAATCATCATTGCATGCAGTTTTATGATAGATCGTTGTCGGAGCCACTTTCTTGAAGAAGTTAAATCACATTCTCATAGAAGTTTTTGCCGAGAATGTTAAATGAAAAGTTTTTTGTAACAGGTAGCAGATTTAGAAAATATTGTCTTAATGCTGAGATCAGGACAAGGAGAATTATATCAGGTAGTAGTTTTCGATGTTGTGGACATAGATGCGACTCATACGGATAGCGTTTGGTGACTGTTTTGGGTACTATTAGCGGGATTCACTTGCCGATTTAATAATTTGAAAATTATAAAATCGTTAACAAAAAAAACAACAAAAACACATTCGACTAACTTTTAAATGCGAAAAGCTAATTCTGCTGTTAACAGCAACAACTTCGTATCAGCTTGTTGTGTAAATCTGATCGTGGCATGTAAAGTGAATTAACACAGATATGATGTTAACGAAAAGTATCGCCAAGTTTAATTGGATACTTGTGCATGCATCACTTCAGAGTCCACTTAGTCTTTATCAATATTAATTTATCAGTAATGATTGCTTCAGAAGAAATTGCTTTCTTGGTATTTTCATATTTTCTCCCTTGTCTTCTATCGATTTGAGCTACTTCTTTTTGCAAAAGATGCGCCTTGAAATACTCTACGAAACCACTCATTCTGATTCTGTACGTGAAATCAATAAAAAATACTCGTTTAGTTCCGAAGATTTCTGGAAAACCTTTCTAGAAACCAAAGTATTTTCTGCTGGTTTAATAATAATAAATGGAATGGTAACACACCACACTATCGTCACGAAGAGCGAGTGATGAGAAGAAGACTTACTAACGGATGCTTCAAAAGAAATTGCTCTCTTGGTATTTTCGTCCTTTCTCCCTTGTCTTCTATCGATTTGAGCTACTTCTTTTTGCAAAAGATGCGCCTTGATATACTCTACAAAACCATACTACCTAAACCTAAACTATAATTTCAGAACTTCAGTCAAGAAAACTAGGCCAGTTAGCTGAAAGTCGAAAAAAATGAAAACCTTCCAAACTTAAAAATGATTTCTTGTGTTAACGTTTTGAAAGTAAGAAAAATTGAATTAACCATTTTGTAGCCTTGACTTCGCTCTATCTTTTAGCTACGCTTCAAATTTTTTCACACCAAAATTCGAAAGAATAGTTTTTCTGTCGGTTGTCATGCATTTTTTGATTAATTTTTTAAATTTTGGGTACAGTAGTGCTTTGAGTAAAAGTCTCATTAGAGTAAAAGCTTTTTCAGTCGATTTTGTTTTGATCAGATATGATTGTTCTTCTCTATCTAAGTGCGAAACCAAAACTTCAATCATGTTTTCCGTGTTTCGCTTGAGCACATTGTTAGAAACGAGAGGTTGTCAACTTTTGACGTATTTTGTAACTTCGTTCTTCAGCGCACCATCTGCTCTAAAAAGTATTTTTAAACAATTTCCAAGGGCTCAGTATGAGTAACAAAGCCAG